ACTGGAAGTTTTTAAGAAGAGACTGGACAGCCATTTGTCCGAAATGGTATAGGGTTTCTTGCCTGAGCAGGGGGTTGGACTAGATGACCTTCAAGGTCCCTTCCAACTTTACTATTATTATTATTATTATTATTATTATTATTATTATTATTATTATTATTATTATTATTATTATTATTATTATTATTATTATTATTATAGGTTTTCAAGTGTTGTAAATGTTAGTTCATTTCAACCGCAGTAGAAGTGCTACAATAGAATGGTATGCTTTATGAAATGGCAGGTTTTTCTAGGTGAACAGGAAGTCCATGTATGCTTAAGCAAACTGGTGACGATGGGATGTTTAGTGTACATAATTTGCTATTCTGACCAAGAGAGGGAGGGATGGAGGGACAGAAAGAGAGAAGGAGATCTTTGCCAGTTTGCTGCTTTGTAGAAGTCATCTATCCACTTCAGCAAATTGGCTAATAGTTTACACTTCTATTTTGTCTGAGGAGAAAGAGGTGGTTGTATTTTAATTCTTATATTTAACTGCAGGCTAATAATTTTTATGCAGGTTTTTTTCACGATTTAGCTTGCTACAAAACCCTTTTTGTGACTATTGTAAAATAATATTTTAGGAATGTGCATGAAATGGCTGGTTTCAGGTAGCCTATATCTGAACTGAAACATTACGTTTTAAGTCTTAACATTTATGAAAGAGATTGTTTTGGTTCAGGGTTGGATGATCCATAGAAAAAAATCAAGGACATTAATAGTTGAGGAAAGATAGGAAATTGGACAAGGAGGGAGTGTAGTGGGATATAGACTGGGACACGGGTGTCAAACTTGATCGCGTCATGTGATGTATAGTGATGTATCGTGACTGTTTTGCCTTTGCGGAGCCGGGGTGGGTGTGGCCTGCACGTGATGCATCCGGTCTGCTGGCTGTCAGTTTGACACCCCTGGGCTAGGACATCAGCAATGGTGATAGAGAGAGGGAGGAGGAGAAGTGCTGGGAAGATCAGGTGGTCTGGTAGGGTATGATGGCCCCATCGGCCTCAGCAGAAGGGGGGAGAGGGAAGGAAAAAGGTTGGAAAGATGAGAGCTAGGAAGCTGGTGGGATACGCTTTACTTGCCTCATCTGGATTCTGTTTGTTTGGAACCCAGAATAACCAAAATATTCTAGAATTTGGTTCTGGTAAGTTATGTCGGATCAGAAATAGTTCAGAATGTGATGGTTTTCTTCCACGGTAATGATTTTATTCACATTCTACAGGATAGATATTTTCAGAAGAAGCTGAGGTAGCTTGAGTTTAGAGTATTCCTTGCTGATTCTGGTTTTATATATTATTATACATCTCCAATTTTTGTACGAACAACTTAATACCTATCATTTCTAAAATATTACTACAAAAGTCACCACACCACAAGACAAACGGTTATTTATTCCAATTGAGTATAAAAACGTAAAGATGTATCTGAGAATACAAGGATTAATCTCTGACCTCGATAGGTATGCTTGTACGTATACCAAATTTTCCTCCTAAACAATTTCTAGAAAAGCGATTGCAGGTAATTCATTATCAGTAATAGTTGATTTTTGTTTAAGGGGAGCTGAGCTAACTGGAACATGCAAATATTTATTTTTGTATTAGATTAGTTCTGATTTGCTGCAGAAGAATTTCATGTTCTAAAAATGTATGTTGCTTCTAGGTAAAATTGCACCAGCACGAAGAGCTTCAGAATGTAAGGAAGCACATTCACTCATGTTTCAGTAACCTAGGCTGTTTCCTGTTGCCGCACCCTGGTCTTAAAGTTGCAACTAACCCAAGTTTTGATGGGAGACTAAATGGTAGGAGATTTTCTGTTTTATATAGCTAACTAGGAGGTGTTACTGACTCAAATGTTCTTTAAATGATTGCATTAAAAGCAATCTATATGGCATATAGATGAATATTGATGGGATAATTTAGATAGTTGTTGGAGGAGTATCAGCAGCATATTAGTTTTGTTTTAATTCTTTGATTAAGAACTGTACACAGTTTTCAGAAGAAATGCTATACCACATGGAGGAGTGAAATATCTCTTGTCAAACCTCTAAAGCAGCCATATCGTTTGCAAGACTTACAATAGCCACTTTGGAAGTTGCTCCTAGGCTGCCTCTGCAAACTGCTTTGCTTTATTGGGAAGAAAGTGAAACAAAGTGGTTATGCATTTACAAGCAGGAGTAATAGATGTGCCAATACTGCAAGTTTGGTTCCTCTAATAATGAAAAGATAAATCCTTTGTTTGGCTTGTACATATTGCAAAGTTCTTTCAGTTGGCTTTGAACAGCTCTATTAAGAATACAGTTATATAATAAAAATGCATATGATACAAATTAATACGACAGTTTTGATATTGATTGGTTAATGTTTCTGAATGAATACTGAAATTGATGTTGCTTACCAAGTTATAGAGCAGACATCCTATCAAATTTCAATGTTATTTTAAAATAATTATAACTTAGCTGAGATTGGATAAGTAATCACGATTTCCTGCTGTGAAAATGAATTGTGGTTCCAAATTGTCTCTTCTCCCCTTCAACCTGTTTGAACAATTCACTACACTGTCTACTGCGAAATAAGTTGGAATCTGAAGCCTGTTTAGATTCAGTATGTTTAAACAAAAAGAAGCAAAAGTTTCCCATATCTTTTTTATTAATTTCCTCGTTAGGAATTGGTACTCTCGTCGGGCTTCTCTTATCCTTCTGGGAATTTGCTTGAGCACTACAATTTCTTTTTCTTTATATTTTAACGGTTGATCTCTTACTATTCTCAAAATCTCATCTCGCATAGATCTTTTAAGAAATCTAACTTTTTTTATGGCACCAAAAGATAGTTGTGAGAGGCTAAAGAATATGAAAGCCAGTTTTCCATTTCATCTGAATTAGGCTTTGGATTTGAGACAGTGACTAAACTAGAAGTGTATAAACACTGTCTGCAGTCACAAAATGGCCTCTTAATAAAATAAAACTTCAGTAAAGTGATGACCATCTTTCCTTATTGCATAATTTTTAGATTTGCATTTTTATAATAATTTTATGAATTAATACAATCTCAACTTACATACATTTTAAACAAAATTTATACAAACACTCACACATTGCTCTGTTCTCTTTTGTGTTGAGTCATGTGATACAAAGTACAAAAATGGAGTAAGAAATACTAAGCCAGATAAATTAGAATTGTGAGATAAAATATCTAAATCTAGATTATAATACTATTCATGATATCTTTCCATACCTTCCTACCTTAGCTTTCACCATGATTTTATACCCCTTTATATCTTTCTTTTGTTCTTTAAACTTTACATCTTTCTTTTTGAATATCTCATCTTATCATCTCATCAAAATCTCATGATTCCAATCCTTCTCTCAGTTTTCCTCCTCTTATCGATGCATTCAATGTTCTTTCATAGAATTGGATCCTGATTTAGTTTCTATAATACAACGATCTGTATTTAATATTTTCATCCTGGATGTTCAGTTAGTAGTCAGTCCTAATTTATTCATTTGCCATTCATCCTTGAACCTTTCTCTTTTCATTTTATCACATACATTTCTGAAGGGTATTATTCCTACTGCATTTAACTTCAATGTTTTTCCTGACATGCCCAACATTCACTTCCATAAAACAAGGTAGACAGAAGTATGTTCTTATACATAATCATTAAATTCATTAAATTTTTTATAATTTTTGCTTTTTTGGCTAATATTTATTGCCTTTTTTGCCAATATTTACATATCTTACATATCATTTTCTATATATTTTCTCATTATTGATAAGCATCCTATGAAGATATGCAGATATATCTACTTAATGAACTTTATGCATAACTTGCATTCACTCATTCCATTATTTCTCTCAAACACAGCCACCTTAGTTTGTGATCTATTTATTTTCAGATTCATATGCTTCATTTACTCCATTTGCTGCAGATTATTTGGGTTATCAGCAAACAACATGGCATCTTTTGCAGACCAAAGTGCATTCATTGTCTTATTCTCTGTAAAAGACTTCTAGCCACTACAAACATTGCATAAACATTTATCCATAGATGTGTTAAAAAATCCAGGTGATTTCGTACATCCTTATTTCATGCTACCTAGGTTCATTAGCTAGTTAAGCACTCAGTGCATTCTCAGGCATGTTTCCACCACATTCCACTACTCACATTTAGGAACCAACATCCAACGCTATAAAAATACAAAGCGTTTTGTAGTACAAGACTATTTGCTTTATTGTACAACCTTTCTAAATCAACAAATAAATAAAATACCTGGAGTGCACTTCCCAATTTCTGTTCGGCTTACTTTTTTACACGTGATTTGTACTTTCTTTTTCTTCAGGCATTCTACTTTTTGTCTTACTTTCTGAATATAAAAGATACTACATACCGTAAATATTTATGGGTAAGCCAAGAAGTTTAGGTGTTAAAATACATCCCAAAAATTGGATTCGGCTTATCCATGAATGAGCTTAGCTGCGAATATGTATAGTACCACTTTTTAAAGTACCCATGTATCTCATATATATACTTTTGTATAAGCCAGGGGTAGTCAACCTTGGCTCTTTTATGACTCGTGGACTTCAACTCCCAGAATTCCTGAGCCAGCTAAGCTGGCTCAGGAATTCTGGGAGTTGAAGTCCACGAGTCATAAAAGAGCCAAGGTTGACTACCCCTGGTATAAGCCATCCATGGATAAGCCAGTTTGGTTATTTTCTTGTAGACATTTCATTATCCAAACTAGGTAACATCAGTGCTAGTAAGGAGCTTACTCTACAAGAAAACAGCCAAGCTCAAAGAGCACCAAGAACCCCTCATTTCAATCTTGAACCACAAATATTCTCCTTTACTGAACATGAACATTATGAGGCTCAGCTTAACTGTGGGTGGCACATTTTTCTTGGTATTTTGGTTAAAAATTCAAGAATTGGCTTATCCACAGATCGGCTTATCTTGAGTTTATAGATTATATACAGAGTGTCTTCTGATGATATTTTTTTAAAATGAAGAGTACATTGTATGTTAATTCTTTATGCAGAGTTAATGTTTCATAAATTAGCAATCCACATTTGACTAAGATTTCATGCTTTGGGGATGTTTTTTAACAAAGTTAGGATAGTTCCATTAATATTACTTCTTGATGATTTTGAAAAGAAAAGATTTTGCATTAATTGAATAAAATTTCTTACACCATATTTATTAATTCCACCAGATATTGATGAAGAGTTTAAGAAAGAATTGCGGGGTCTGATTCCTTTGCTGCTTGCTCCTGAAAATCTGGTAGAAAAAGAAATTAGTGGCTCAAAAGTGACTTGTAGAGATCTTGTGCAATATTTTAAGGTACAATCATTATTCCATGCTTTAAATAAATTTATTTTCTTGTAAATTTTTAATCATGAAAGGATTAGATATGCTGTAGTATTCCATTATTCACATACTATGGTTAATATATTCAAAGTCAAGCCTTTTTGACTGCACTGTATATTTACAAATGTACACTCTACTAGAGCAAAGAATCAAAGAAATGGGTCAACAAAAAACAATAGACAACTATCCATATACACTGCATTGAGAAAATAGTCAAACCCCCTTTACTTTTGTCAATTTTGTTATGCTACAGCCTGATTCTACAGTTGTTGAAATTCATTTTTCTCATTAATCTACACTCAGTACCCCATAATGACAAAGTGAAAACAGAATTGTAGAAATGTCTGTAAATTTATTAAAAAGAAAAAAAGTGAAATATCACATTGGCATAAGTATTCAGCTCCTTTGCAACAACACTTGAAATGTAGCTCAGATGCCTCCCATGTCTCTTAATTATTGTTGACATGTTTCTATACCTTGATTGGAGTTGACCTATGGTAAATTAATTGGGACATGATTTGGAAAGGCGCACACCTCTCTGTAGCAGATCTCACAGCTGACAATGCATACTGTAGCAGAGCAAAACCCATCAGGTCAAAGGAACTGCATGCAAAACTCAGAGATAGGATTATTGCAAGACACAGATCTGGAGAAGGCTATAATATAACAAGATTCTCTGGTCTGATGAAACCAAGATCGAATGGTCTGGCCTCAATTCTAAATGTTATGTCTGGAGGAAATCAGGCACAGCTCATCACCATCCCAGGATCATCCCAACAGTGAAGTGTGGTGGTGGCAGCATTATGCTGTGGGGTGTTTTTCAGTAGCAGGAATTGGGAGACTGGTCAGAGTTGAGGGAAAGCTGAATGGAGCAAAATACAGGGATATCCTCAATGAAAACCTGTTCCACAGTGCTTAGAACCTCAGACTGGGCCGAAGGTTCACTTTCCAACATGACAATGATCCTAAGCACATAACCAAGACAACACAGGAGTGGCTTAGGGACAATTCTGTGAATGTCCTAGAGTGGCCCAGCCACAGACTTGTCCTGAACTCTGTTGAACATCTCTAAAGGGACCTCACAATGGCTGTCAATCAACGGTCGCCATCCAACCTTATTAAACTTGAGAGGCTTTGCAAAGAAGAATGGCAGAAAAACCCCCAATCCAGGTGTGCAAAGCTTGTCGTGTCATATCCAAAAACACTCAAGGCTATAATTGCTGCCAAAGGTGCTTCAACAAAGTACTGAGTGAAGGATCTGAACACGTATGCCAATGTGATATTTCAGTTTTTTCTTTTTAATAAATTTACAGACATTTCTAAAATTCTGTTTTCACTTTATCATTATTAGTGTAAATTAATGAGAAAAAAATGAATTTCAACAACTGTAGAATCAGGCTGCAGCATAACAAAATTGAGAAAAGTGAAGGGGATCTGAATGCTTTCTGAATGCACTGTATACTGTTCTAGAATAATCTATAATGTACTTCAAATATTATCAAAACTGTCTTTGTTGCAGCATTTATCCCAAGGTTAGGCAATAATAACAATTATCAATCAATTTTTATTACAGTCACAGACCAACATTACTAATAACAATTATATGCAGTCATCCAAAAGAGGCAAATTTGGGGTGTTAACTGCCTTGAGTTTGTATATGAGAAACGTTACTATTTAATAGAAACTAAGTACAGTAACATTATGAGAAGCAATTTTAATAAATCATAATTTTCTTGTATTCCTGCTATATTGTATATGTTCAGTTTATGTTGACCATTATTAACAACACATTAATTTCTTGATTTGTTTAAAATAGCATTGGTGGACTACTTCATCCAGTCACTTTCATTTAATTACATTTGAATTTAAATGTAAATTTAAATTTAATAGATTTAATTTTTGTTTGTAAAAATATTGTTTTAAAGTCAAAATTAGATTGTAAAATACTTATTTTATTTTCAGGCTTATATTAAAATCTATCAAGGAGAGGAATTACCTCATCCTAAATCAATGCTGCAGGTAAAGTTTTATATATAACTATTTATGGAAGCATGTAATGTGAAACAATTTGTTCATGGCACATCAAGGCAAGCTAGAGACATCTGAAATCTTATTCAAGAACAGGGGATCAGTAGGCTTCAATCTGATATTTCAGACTTGACTGTAGAATTTATTATGTCTTTCACGTGGCACTAATCCACATTTGATTACAGTTTTTACTCTAAGCTTCAAATTGAGGATCATTTAGTTGTATATCATTGAATTCTAGCTGCTTCTGGCATACTTGCAAATTTAAAGGAATGGCTGGATTTTTCACTAATTAATCTAGGCTCTTGACAGAAATCTTTTCCAGTCTGCATTCATGCATTTTTAACTGAGATGCAAAATATTGAAGAAAGAGTAAATAGATGCAAATATTGAGCTTTGACTACCAGGACAAACATTGAAAATGTAATTTACAAGATGGTTTTCTTTGTGAAATACCATCAAGTACATTGAGATTAGAGATAGACAAAAGATAGATAAGGATCTTTACTTTGATAGCTAGTAGTAGATCATTAAGGATCTCTGGTCACCAAATTCTATAATATCAACATATCTCTCATTAACAGCAATGCAAATAACTCTTAGGTGCAAATGGCTTCATGAATAATTTTGAATCTGTCGCTAGTCTTCAGTAGTTTAGTAAAAAGGAATGGAGATCTTGCAAGCTTGAAGTCTATCTTTCTCTTCCTTTCAAGCAGTCTTCCTGTAAGGACCCACCTCAGCTAAGCCACCCAAGAAAGCAGAACTCTTGAAACAGGCATTGTCTCAAAAGGAACTTTTATTAGGGGCTAGTGGCAGCAGGGAATCAAGGCGAGGTCTGAGAAAAAAACCTGCAAGAAGCAGTATATTAAAAGCAACATTCAATACTCCTCCCCCCCAGTGTCCCAGTGTTCAGTTGAATCCCAGCCAATCCACAGGTGGCATAGTGTTTTGGTAACTGGTCTTTTCGGCAGGCTCCTCAAGGTCTTTCTCACTTTTGATTTCTTATGGCTTCAAGGGCAAACCGATGTTCCATCCCCTGGGGGAAGGGCATCATAGCAGACAGTGCAAAGCAATTCCAAAGCTCCCCCCTCCCAACAGAATGGCAGGTCACAAAGAAAGGCTACAGAAGTAGAAAATAGGCATAGGGTTAAAATACATTTCTTTGGGGACCTGACATTTCCCCAGTTGTGGGGGTAGGAGTTGTAGTTTAATATATCTAGAACCAAAGTTTGATAAAAGCTCCTTTTTAATTGAAAAAAATATTGGCATTCTAACTTACAAAAGTACTTATAAACTTATTAAGTGATTATTTATAAATCTGAGATTGCAAAGTGGCTACGAGAATTCACAGTGTAAAACTATAGGACATAAAATGTTTAAATATGTTTGCATTTTGAAAGGATGTATGAAAACTATTACAGAAACTCATCCAAACTGTCAAAAGTGGGGTTTTTTTGTTAATATTATTAGCATTATTACTACCTTTTGTATTATTATTACTATCACTACTTTTATTACTACTGCTATTATTACTATAGGCAACAGCAGAAGCCAACAACCTTGCTGCAGTAGCTGGTGCAAAAGATACTTACAACAAAGAAATGGAACAGGTAGAGTATTTGTATGAATTTATTTGAAGTTATAGGCTTAGCCTAATCTAGTCTTTCTCTGCCAGAGTTCTGTAAGAGATTGCTAGTTCAACAAGAGATTGTGATTAATTTTTTTTTTATTACTTCACTTATTGTGCAGTACTTGCCCTCTTGGGAAGAATTTTAACATGCTGTGACCCAGCTACTTGGCTGCTGCTTTACTGTTGTAAATGTTGTAAAGTGTTTTAGGTTAAAAGAGAATTATGTTGAGAAGTTTTCACATTTTTTTCCTATTTTTATGCAGGGATTCCCTGAAGCCTGAAAATTACTTCAAGGGTTCCTTCAGATTATAAAGGTTGAGAAAGGCTGGTCTAATCTAGGATATGGTAGAGAACTAGGACTGTTCTGGAAAATATTATGAAATCAGCACTATAAGCTGGATTATTAACTATTTTGTAAAGAACGCAGAGCAGTATAGTTTGGGTTCACAAATTGATTTAAGCCATAAAATAATGTGTTTTGTTTTGGCTTAAACGTTTTGTGTGTTACCAGTCATATTCTCATTGAGGTCACAAGTGTATCTTTGGCATTTTAGCGTCAGATCTTAATTTGTTTTGGTTTGTATAAAGAAGCAAGCATATTTAAAAAATATATATATTTGAATTTGTTATAACCACCCATTCTGGTATACTCAGGATGACTTACGGAATCCCAAAACAATAAAAACAGTTAAAAGCATACAACATAGACACCTAGACTCAAACAGCTATTATAATAACAGAATAAAACAGGGCCCCAAAAACACATTAAGCCCAGGCTTGAGACTTCAGGACTTTTTGGAAATCCAGGAGAGAAGGCACTGTCTGTATCTCTGGGGAGGGGAATGCTGTTCCAGAAGGTGGTGCCATGACAGAGAAGGAAGCTTCCTCTGTCCCATAAAATTAAATGGAAGGCATCTACAGTGTACTCTCTGTGCTAGAATGTATAGGCCAGGCTGAAATAATTGGAGATAAGTGGTCCCTCAGGTATCTAAATCTTATGACCAGAAAGAGCTTTAAAGATAACTGCAGCATTTTGAATGGCACCGGGAATCTAACTGGCAACCAGTGCAGCTGTTGGTCAGCTCCTGGGATGCCTTAAACCAGTAGGGGCCGGATCTAACAAACAAGTGCCCCAACTAACAGACAGGAGGATCATACCCATTTCCTCAGGGGTCCAAATTGAACTCAGATAACATTACAAGATTGCCTAGGAAACTCATTTACTTGCCCAGTTGGAGTCCAACTCTGAATTTGATTGACTTTATCTACCAGATAACATGACTGTTGTTCATTGTGGGCCTGCAGATGATCCTGCAGCTCAGCCCCTTCCCCATCATTCCAAACAGGGTCATTGGGTCACTATTAGCAGACCCAATAAGGGCAGAGAATAACATTTTGCCATCCTTATTACCACAGTGTAGGCCCAAATATGGGCTCTTGCTGATGTTCAAATTCAGTTTTTAAATCAAAAAAATTGTTATAACCAGACCAGGGCTGGAGTTAAAGAAAATGAAAAATGCCTCCTAACAGTGTTATTAGAGAAAAGTGCAACCCTATGTTTTATCTATAGTTAATGACTATAACTGTATCAACCCCTCAGATAACTTCCTCAGTTCATGCAGTTCTGATGGGTCTGGATTGGCTATTTTGGTGATCTATGAAATAAAATGTGCCTTTATTTTACAATGCGTCCAATTGATTTAGCCACCAACAGCTGTTTTTTAAAGTGCTCTCTGAATTTTCAAGCAATTATACTATAAGGGCAGTAAAGGAAAGCTTCTTATTATATTTCTATCTCCTTAAGAACTACATGATGGTTCACCTGGCTTTTCACCTGCAGTTTATCTGGACTATGAAAATGGCTGCAGATAGTCCTTGACTTACAAACATTCGTTTAGTGACTGTTCAAAGTTATAACAGCACTGGAAAAAGTGACTTATGTCTGTTTTTCACACTTACAACCGGTGCAGCATCCCCATGGTCACATGATTAAAATTCTGATGCTTGGCAACTGATTCATATTTATGACTGTTGCAGTGTCCTGGGATCATATGATCACCCTTTGTGACCTTCTGACAAGCAAAGTGAATGGGGAAGCCAGATTCACTTAACAACCATGTTACTAACTTTACAACTGCACTGATTTATTTAACAATTATGGCAAGAAAGGTTGCACAATGAGGCAAAACTCACTTAACAAATGTCTCACTTAGAAACAGAAATTTTGGCTTATTTGTGGTGGTATTTCGAAGAATGCCTGTACGTTGAGAGAACTGATTGGCCGGTGATTCTGTACATGATTAAGGATTTGACCTTGGATCTCCACAGTCTTAGTCCAACATATTAACTTTTAGTGGTACTTAATATTTTTAGCAGGACTGTAACTAGAACTGTTCTAGATTCTGTAAGCTAATAGGTCAATTCATGCCAACAGGTTTGTGGTGGAGATAAGCCTTACATAGCACCTGCAGACTTAGAACAAAAGCACCAAGATCTTAAAGGATTGGCAATCAAACATTTCCGTTCTGTGAAAAAGATGGGAGGTGAGGAGTTCTGTCGTCGTTACCAGGACCAGCTTGAAGAGGAGCTTGATGAAATCTATGCAAACTTTGTGAAGCACAATGATGGCAAAAACCTCTTCTATGCCGCTCGTACACCAGCGACTCTATTTGTTGTCATGTTTGCTATGTATATAATCTCAGGACTGACTGGATTCCTTGGCATGAACTCCATAGCAACCCTGTGTAACCTTGTGATGGTCATAACACTTGTCTCCCTTTGTACATGGGCATATGTTAAATACTCTGGGGAATGCAGAGAAATTGGAACACTCATTGACCAGATGGCGGAAGTACTATGGGAACAGGTTGGTATCCGTTTATCTATTCACTTAAAAAAACAGAGTTTAATTGTTAATAGGCAAGCATTGGTATAAAAGCCTATTCAATATGAATGTACGCCAAAGATAGAATGCAAACCAAGAGAAAAAAACCTTATAAAAATAACAGTTGAAATCAATTTAGAATATCATTATTGGTGCCTAATCATGTACCAAGACTAAGAAAACCTGAAGAAAAGAGATTCATGTATGTTAGTATAAAGAATGGAATTTCTGGAAGTGGACATTTGAAAGTCCATAATTGTGAATCCTTATCTAGTTATAGATCATGGTGTACAACACCCTCCCTATCTAGTTGGTAAGACTAGATATTGCAAGTCTAAGATTTGAGAAAGTCATCAAAACGCTGCCCAGCCAGTACCTAGGCCTGAGAAGTGAGTGAGGGCAGATCTATCACAAAACAGCTGAGAGAGAAGGAAGAATGGTTAGATGCAGTAGTTGGTTTTTGTCTTTATAAAAACTTCTTTTTGCATCTGCAGTAAAGGTAGAGCCCTTTCTTGAATTATCCATTGTTATGCTAATAGATGCATGTTTGTCTTTCTAGAGAAAGAAATTTATTGCTATGGCCAGCATGACGTCTGAAGTGAAATGGAAGGAAAATTAATGTAGCTATAGAAGGATCAGGCATCAGGGTAGAAACGAAAGATTCAATTCCAGTCCAATTCTAACTTCTTTACAAATTTTGAAATTATTGATTAACCTTTCTGCTTCTGTTCAAGAAATACTTATGTATTCATTATAGTCCATCCAAATAGTACCTATGTATTTGTGTCATGGGTAAAGAATATTCAGAAGAATACACGAAATCCATAAAGTCATGATAAATTGAGCAGAATTTTGATCTTATCTTCTATAGTGAAACCAAGGAATTGATTGTGGCATTGCAGAGACAGAATTATATTCCAGATCAGCCCTGGAATAGTTATTCCATTAGCTTTGCATTATTTTGAGAAATTTGTTAACCTGTTTAAGAACCAGCCTGCAGAATTGTTGTATTAAGTTTCAAAAAGGAAATTTATTCTTCTATAGTGTCAAACACACATATACACTAGGGCCTGGGCTATTAACTCTAAATCATCTTGTGTATTTTTTTTCTTTCTTTTTTGCTTCAGAGGAGTCCCAAGAAGGTGAGAAAAATCAATGGAGGCTGCTCACATGTATCTTTTCTGGTTTCTGCCAATTGCCTTTCTAATAACCTGCTTCATATTTTAGGTGTGTTCCAAACTCTTTGAAGTTGTTAGACGTCGAATGCTTCGCCATGCTCTTGCCTCAGCACAACGGCAGCGACTCTCATCCAACAATAACAGGAAGAAAAATTAGCCAGTATTTTTACCTTTTTCTTTATCTAAAGCATTCACAATTCGTAAGCAGGACTGTGCTGGGGCAATTTACATAAATGCTATAAGCATACCAGGCTGATGCTGCATTATAGGGTATGAAACTGCACCTGCTATTCTAGGAGCTATAAAGTTACATGGATTGTCAACTACCCAACGGAGGAAACCATTTATTGCTCTGTAAATTATTAACTGTAAGCTGGTAGCAAAACTCATTTTTTCTCTTGCTTTGGTACTTTTGCACTTTGGATACATTTCATACTCCATGATTTTAATTTGTTGTTGTTTTGCATCTGGGATGCTTTTAGTTAATTTATTTTTACACATTTCTTGTACTGCAGGTTATAAAACCTCTTGGGGAGAATTTGGTTGAGGATACCATGAGACAATCCGTTACAAACTCTATCAAAGCAGGCCTGACTGAACAGATGTCTCAGCATGCCAGATTAAAAACAAACTGAGAGCTCACCTCATCTCATCTGCCTGTCCATCCTAGACTTGCTTGCTGTACAACAAGAACTCAATAAACCAAAGTTTACATTTGACTATAAAGCAGTAGTTTAGTCTGCTTGGATTCCTAATTTACTGCCATCATATTGTGGGAAGATAATGGTGGGGGTACAAGAAAAGAAACTGAACTGTTTTAAAGAGTTTATCTTTGATTTGCTCCCACAATGTCATGGAAAGGGAAGATCTTAACCACGGTTCTTTGTACCAGGGTCTGATTTATGGCATTGTTTCCACTGTAAAAGGTTTTTCAGGGAAGTATCAAAACTATACAGAAATCTTTTAATAGAATGTATAATCACACAAAGTCCCATTAAACATTTTAATTTTCAGCATTTATAACATGAATCCAGTTGATATATCAGCAGTAGCAGTCAACTGAGAACTCATGTTTGAGCCACTTCATTTATCTGCTCTTGCATTAGCGCCTTCTCTACCAGTATTACCCAGATGCATGTTCTCCACAGCTGCTTCATTTAGAGATAACTATGACATTGTCCTGCTTTTTTCAGTTTAGAGACCTTGTCTTACAGGATATGCATATTATGAAAAAAGCTGTTTTTCTCTGCAGTTTTAGCCTACATGTATATACAATATGCCATTATTACTTAGGGGGGGGGAAATCCATCCAAAAATAACAAAATCCGTTTCCTACAGCTACAAAGCAATGAGTTCAGATTGTCTGTACAGTGTGTCTAGTTATTTTTTTAATCACAGGGCATGTATAAAATATAAATATATAAATACAATTTTGTATCAAAAGTTTTGTAGTTTATGGCAAAACCTGGTTCTGTGATAAGCTAAGTACAGTCCCTGTAAAGGAATGTTTGTGGCTCATGTAAATGTGTGGATGCATAAAAATAATTTAGTTTTTTTGATATATTTGTGATATTTACCTGCCTTGAACACTGCAATCTCATCCCATGGGAAATCAGTGGGAATGTTTGTTGTGATTGTCTTCAGTTACATTTTAAAGTTATTTCTTGTAATTTATTTTCTGGTACATTAAAATCAAATGTGTATATATGAAATTAAACTCATGATTTTATTTAAACACATTAATGTAATTCACTGCATTACCTACTGTTGTTTAGAATGTTAAGCAAACTTATAATTTTCTTGTAAGTTCTGGTCATTAAGACAAGAGTACATCCTAACAGCTACCAGCAAGAATTAAGTGAGGTTAGGTTGCTCCTTCATTTCTTCTGTGTTTTGTTTTGCTTTCCATTCACTCACTATAAGAAACTAATAGTCAAGGGCAGTGGTTCTCAACCTTTTCTTCACCACAGACCCCCTTTAAATACCTTTTGTGACCACGGACCATGGCTACAGACAACCAAGACTTAATTCAAGATTTAAATCATTTCTTCAAGCCTTTGTAGATCCCGTGATGACATCACAGCCACCCCCGGAGGTCTGCGGGGCAAGGTTGAGAACCACTGTCTGGGAGATTAGTAAGGGGAAGCTTTAGTTTTTATACATTAGATGCCCCCTTTGAAGACTGTTTCCTGCTTCCAAATCTCTGAAGTTTAAATTTGAGTATGTAATTTTCCTCATGTTTTAATTCAATCTAATTAGGTACTTTCTATCCAGCTTTAAACCATCAGATTCTAGGTGGTAGAACAAGTGATAACTACAGTACTACAAAAAGCCACAGTACCCATGTAGATAAAACTACAAATACAGATAAAATGACTGAAGACACTCATGCCTGGAAGGGGAGTCTCAGCAACTGGTCTTTTCTTTTTTGGTTTGAAACATTTCCCTGCTTATCTAAGTAGCTTCTTTAGTTTGATCCAACTTCCAGACAAGTCTACCTGGATGACTGAGAACCTTCAACATAATGGCACATGTGCACTCCATGTGGAAGCTAAAACATATGGATGGTTTCAGGAAATGGATATGTCTAGTGAAAAGGACCAGGAGTGACATGATAGCAGTGTTCCAATATTTGAGAGGCTGCTACAAAGAAGTCAACCTATCTCCCAAAGCATGTGAAAGCAGGACAAGAAGCAGTGAATGGAAACTAATCAAGGAAAGAACCAACCTAGCACTAAGGAGAAATTTCCTGATAAGAAGAATCAATCAGTGGAATGACTCGCCTTCAGAAGTTGTTTGTGCTCCATCATTGGAGGCTTTTAAGAAGAGACTGGACAGCCACTTGTCTGGAGTGGTGTAGGATCTCCTTGAACAGGAGGTTGGACTAGAAGAACTCCAAGGTCCCTTCCAACTCTGTTATTCTATACAAATACAGACCATCATATCCAACCACTTACACAGCAAGGCTTCTAGTTAGTATGCTTTCCCCAGCCTGGAAGTCACAACTGCTGAAACATGTGATAATCTGGTGGTCAAGTCTCCAAAATGGCATGCACACATCCATTTCTGATCAGGTTTTGATTACACATTAGTTGCACATGTTCCTCATACTTTTCAGTCCTTGTAATGGTTATTTATTGTGCCCTCCAAAAATATTATTTCCCCTTTCCCCCAAGTAAGAGTCTTGAAAAACCTCAGTTCAGTATAATGCAAAGTTCACATACTGTACCACAAACCAAGGGGGAAATGTAATAAACACTTTATTCCAATACAGGTAGCTGAATTCAGTTGGCAAAGTTGAATAAATGGATGTGCTGCCTTAAAAAGTTGCTAGGGAGCTAAATTAGGTATGTTTGTTTATTCCGTTTGCTATCAACATCGCTGAATATTATCTGGTGTCCTACCCAAAGGTAGGACACTTGTGCTTTGTCAGTGTGTTCTGTCCAAACTTTAGGGGTGGGAGTGGGAAATATTTTTAGATGACTCCTGATTTCATATAACTGCAGACCCAAATGGTTCATTGCTAGAGAACAAAAGATCACTTGTTGAGAGAAATGTGAGGAAGATTCCTGCTTGCTTCTAGAATAGGGGGCTGAATATAACCACTTTTGTTGCCACTAGCAAAAATAATTCCATTTTATTTTTCTATTGTAATATATGTTGCTTTTCTGTAAAAAGGGTAATAATGACTGTGGCCATGTAAGAGCGGCATGTATAGGTGCAATCCTCAGGACTCAAAATTGCCCACCATGTATTAAAAATTCAGAGTAGGGAGATCCATTATGCTATAAATGCATTTCCCTACTCAGGACTAACTTGAATAGTTCCATCAGAAATTTTGACAATTTGGCAGCTATTGGTTATGTGTCATCAAGCTATTTACTGATTCTACTGGTCATATAAAAATGTTTTTATTGTCTTTTGACTAGATAAAGCAATTTAAAGTTAAGGCTGTTTTGGGGTCAAATTGGATTGGAAATCCTTAGTCCTACATTGGTAGGAGTAACCAATAATCATTTTAAAATTACTACAAAATCAAAATTTTGCATTATAGTGTGCAAAAATAAGTATGCTGGTTAGAGTTCAAGAGTTACTAAGAGTATTTTTCAAAAAAGATAGCTTGAATTTAAAGTTTCTGGATGATCTGTATTATTATGATCATCTGTACTATTCAAATGCACATTGGTATGCTAAAATATTTAAAAGATAGAGAAGCTGACGACACTCAGCTGTACATATCCACCCCGGGCCACCCCAACGATGCCCTTGACGTGATGGCCCGATGCCTGGAGGCCGTGAGGGTCTGGATGGGGAGGAACAGACTCAGACTCAACCCGTCCAAGACCGAGTGGCTGTGGCTTCCAGCGCCTCGGCATAGTCAGCTGATTCCATCGCTGACTATAGGGGGCGAAANGGACTTCAACTCCCAGAATTCCTGAGCCAGCATGGCTCAGCTTGGAAACCTCTCCCTTTCCCCTCAGCGTGGCTGGCTCAGGAATTCTGGGAGTTGAAGTCCACAAGTCATGAAGGGGTCAAGGTTGTCTACCCCTGCTGTAGGTCATGTGTGAAAAAGGGTCATAAGTGACATTTTTCAGTGCCGTTGTAACTTTGAATGGTCGCTAAGCCAACAGTTGTAAGTCGGGGACTACATGTACCATCCCAGTTGTTGGTCCAGTCTTTTCTTGAAAACCTCCAGAGATGCAATGCCCACAACTTTGGGAGGCAAGCTTCAAAGAAAACCCGTTCTCTGACCTTCACTGTTGATGGAAGAAACCACATTTCAGCAAAAAAGAAAATTAGGGATCTGACTTGTGTCACGAAGTGTGCAGAATAACACAAGTTGGACTCGGCTCCTTAGCACAGATTGTAATCCTCACAAGCAGCTCAGCTCTACCAGGTGCAAAATATACAGCCCTACCGACAGAGAGTTGTGATCCTTTTTCACACGATGTGGCAACTTCCCTGCGGTCATTGGATCAAAATTTGGCCGCTCGGCAACTGACTCATATTTACGACAGTTGCAGAATCCCGAGATTACGCGATCCCCCTTTTTGCGAACTTCTGGCAAGCAACGTCATTGAGGAAGCCAGATTCACTTAACCACTGTGGCAAGCAAGGTTGTAAAATGGGGGCAAGGCTCACTTAACAACTGTCTCGTTTAGCAACATAAATTTTCTGCTCAATTGTGGTTGTAAATCCAGCACTACCTGTATGAGGCTCTTGTCTTGAGTAGGGAGTTGGACTAGAAGACCTCCAAGGTCCCTTCCAGCTCTATGAGTATGTTGTATGAAGAGAAGGACGAGGGGTGTGTGTGACATGATAGCAGGATTCCAGTATCTCAGGGGCTGCCCCAAAGAAGAGGGAGTCAAGCTATTTTCCAAAGCACCTGAAGACAGGACAAGAAGCAATGGATGGAAACTCATCAAGAAGAGAAGCAACCTGGAACTAAGGAGAAACTTCCACACAATGAGAACAATTAGCTGGTGGAACTACTTGCCTCCAAAAGTTGTGGATGCAGGAATTGGGACTGTCTAGTTTAATGAAGAGAAGGACGAGGGGGGACATGATAGCAGTCTTCCAGTATCTCAGGGGCTGCCCCAAAGAAGAGGGAGTCAAGCTATTCTCCAAAGGGCCTGAAGGCAGGACAAGGAGCAACGGATGGAAACTCATCAAGGAGAGAAGCAACCTAGAACTAAGGAGAAACTTCCTCACAATGAGAACAATTAACCAGTGGAACAACCTGCCTCCAGAAGCGGTGAAGGATCCAACACTGGAAGTTTTTAAGAAGAGACTGGACAGCCCTTTGTCCGAAATGGTATAGGGTTTCCTGCCTGAGCAGGAGGTTGGACTAGAAGACCTCCAAGGTCCCTTCCAATTTTATTATTATTATTGTTATTTTCATGTGGGACCTATACACCCCTTAAAGTGTGTCCCAGATCTGTGGGTCTCCCTAAAACTGCAGGAAGTATGTGGGGAGAGGCCTTAATAATAATAATAATAATAATAATAATAATAATAATAATAATAATAATAGTAGTAGTAGTAAAGTTAGAAGGGACCTTGGAGGTCATCTAGTCCAACCCCCTGCTCAGGCAGGAAACCCTATACCATTTCGGACAAATGGCTGTCCAGTCTCTTCTTAAAAACTTCCTGTATACGCTGGATTTCGACTCTCAGAATCCCTGGTCAGCGTGAGCCACGAATGGCTGGGAAAGGTGCCCGTCCAAGACCGAGTGGCTGTGGCTTCCAGCGCCTCGGCATAGTCAGCTGATTCCATCGCTGACTATAGGGGGCGAAACTTTGGCCCCCTCAGATCGGGTCCGCAACTTGGGTGTTCTCCTGGATTCATGGTTGACATTGGACGACCAGTTGTCGGCCGTGACCAGGGGAGCGTTTTATCAGGTTCGCCTGATTCGCCAGTTGCGGCCGTTTCTGGACCGGGACGCCTTACGCACGGTCACTCATGCCCTTGTGACTTCCCGCCTGGACTACTGCAATGCTCTCTACATGGGGCTTCCCTTGAGGAGCACCCGGAGGCTCCAGCTAGTNGTGGTTGTTCCAGCTAGCGGGACTGGCCTAAGGGATTTTATAGGGGTTTTAAATTACTTTTAATTGGACATATTTAAATATTTCGTTTTAATTAAATTTTTAATTAGGCATAATATGTATATATGTTAGTATTTTATCTAATTTGTCAGCCGCCCTGAGTCCGTAAGGAGAAGGGCGGGATAT